GAGTTTCACCGACTCATCAGGAGGCTGAACCCTCAACAGTCTGTAGAATCCCCTAACTGATTACACTGTAAGTGATAATCCACCGTAACCAAAATCAAAGTAGACTATCACTCACCCACACCAGATGGAAAACTCTACAGACTGTCGGTTCACACCCCATCACAAGCCAGCAAAACACCCACGAAATATATATATAACATGTTTATTATGCGTGCGGACTGGACAGTGAACCGCGGACTGGCTATTGTCTTCACCCGAATAGAACGCCCGGTCATTATAGCTGTATTTCGCACAACTTTCAGCCCAGATACGGCGTTAATTACCAGGCGTTCTATTCGGGTGAAGACGATAGTGACCCGCGGACCAAGATGGTCAGTTTTTTTTTGTTTTTTTCACCCTCTTCGGAAACGGACCGCCGGGTTCGCGTTCCGCTGCAGAGCTCCCAATTCACAACTTTTTTTCTTTTTTCTTTTTTTTTGAATCCAAGACGGGCCCAGTGCCCAAGGCTTATATTTCCAAAAAAGAGTCTTGAGGCCGGGATCCCAATTCATAGCTCCCAATTTGGGCCTCGCCACACCACTCTCGAAATGTGGCGGGTGCATCTGGCCATGATCTAGTAGAAAGTTCATTCTTATTTCGCACATATCGAGAGTGGCGTTCCGATGCCCTTTGCCTGGTGAGAAGTGGGAGGGTACGGGCAGCGTGTGCTTGAGTTGGGAATCGGGACCTCTGTAAGTCTGTCGGGAATCGGGACCTCTGTCTGTCGGGAGTCGGGACCTCTGTCTCTCGGGAGTCGGGACCTCTGTCTGTCGGGAGTCGGGACCTCTGTCTGTCGGGAATCGGGACCTCAGTGCAACCGTGAAGAAGGGTCGCTACGCAACTTGCAAGCATCAGGGTGTGGCGCAGGGCGACCAAGGTCCAGAGCAGACAGCGTCTGGAGAGAGGTCATTCGCGGCTTGCGATCCCGGCCGTACGCTCTCCCCTCTGCATCCTAACCAAGACTCTCACGACTACCGGTAGTGCGGGCCAGGCATCTCTTCACGCGCCGGAAAGGTCAAACAGGACGCAAAGCCCCAACTGCCAAATCTAACATCCAGCAGCAGACGCAAACCAATCAATGGCCATATAATTATTAGTATTACACCCTTCAGAGGGGGCAAGCTACCTACTGCAATCTGATCCTATCCCTCGCCCCCCCTCTCCCTCACCCCTCTGATCGCTGTCGTTCACTCCGCTAATCGATTACGATTTCTCTCTCTCTCTCTCTCTCTCTCTCTCTCTCTCTCTCTCTCTCTCTCTCTCTCTCTCTCTCTCTCTCTCTCTCTCTCTCTCTCTCT